TGACTTACTGTGTGGCATGAAGACTACAGATGAGATAGTTAATGTTAAGTAAATTTATTTAAAATTGAACAAACCCAGAACAATCCTTTAAACCCCTTTTTTTTACACTAAAACTTACCAGATATATTTTAAAAGTAGTGTTACTTATGATCTTCGTAATATGTAAATAAAACGCAATATACAGGTTGCAACCCTTTGTACCACTAAAGAGGCAGCATGACTTAATTTTCATTTGCATGCTTGAAGTTGGGGTTTTTGAAAGGTAGAAACCTTAAAGTTTGTCCAGTCCCTTGGAACTGAGTGGTACTCTTGCATGTAATACTTCTAGTCTTTAGAACTCTTTCAGTACTTCATGTAAGTTAGGAAGAAATTCTTAAGTAGCTGGAATTTTCTTTCTGGAGAAGAAACCATTGATGGGCTAATTTTGTATTTGTGTTGTACATGAAAGAAATACAGTGATTCTCACTCTGAGCATTGATGAACAAAAAACAGTAACTGAATTGGCTAGAAGTTCTGGATATTCAGCTGCTGACAGGAATGCTAAATGCTGATAACTACCCGTAAAACTAGTGTCTTCCAGTGTATTCCCAAGAGAAAGGAATTTAATTCTCAGAAACAGTAGAATGACTAAATAGTTTTATCTGGAGCTAATTGTTATTTTTACTGTTATTTTTTGAATACTTCAGATGTTGGCTTCATATGTGTTTAAAATGTTTTCTAATGACTGGTATTTTCTCTGAAATTTCTGAAAATGAAACACTTTCAAAGTATTGATGTAGTTCAAGTCCTCATGTTGAGGCTGGAACCTATTTCAGCATCTTTATATTACTCATCTTCAGCCATATGTTCTTTACAAGAAAAAAAATGCTGAATTTTCTGCAGTTTCCCTCGTAATTTTTTATCTGGGTCCTATTATTGGGCTTTTAATATCATTACTATTATTTTGATTGCCCTTAGTTTCTGAGGACATCTGATATGGGAGAAAACCTTTACTTTTTTACAAATGTGTGTCTATCCAAGGCAGTAATGGCATGGGACATTACAGACATGTTCGTTGATGTTACCTCATGGCTTTGCTTGAAATTACATATATAAATATATATATGTGTGTGTATATGTATGTATGTAGTATTTGAACCACGTGGTTTTTTTCAGTGTTCTCTCCATTTTGAATTCAGATTATGTGCTGTCTTTGGTGTATCTATAAAACCCAGGACCACTTGCATTCATTTTAGTTAATTTTTAGCAAGAACAGTTCAGTTTCATAAGATCTAGTTATGTTTGGCTATCAGGATTAAAATATGAAAGGTGTTGGGGAAGAGCATTTTTTTAACTTTGTTGTTTCTAGAATCACTCAAATAACCGTTCAACAGCCTTCATGTAAAATGCTGAAGTAATTGACCTGGATGAAAAGAAAATGTGGGCTTGATGTAATCTTAATAAATGTAAGATTTCTCTAGTGAAGAGGTAAAACATACTTTATTAATGGGATTGTTATGTATGTCTCAACTCACTTCATTCAGAGTGTGAAGCTAGAGAGACTGAGAGTTGATACTGCAAGGGAATACTTCCGAAGAAACTTTCAGAACCTGGTGTTTGATAGTTAAAAGTGAACTAGCCTTCCTTAGGCTTTTAGCACAATGCTGTCCTCTGGTGGAAGAGTGTTGCATTAAAAGAGCATTTTATACTTATCAACAACGTTTTAATTAGATATGATCTATGTTATGCTGTGTATGTTGGTCACTTAGAGCACTAACAAAGTAGAACAAAATTGGAGGATGCCTCCAGTATCGTCTATGATGTAATGTGATCTGTAACTAAAATAGATATTTCTTGCTCTTACCATTCCAAGCCAATATTTTCCATAAGATGAATCAGAAGTTCTCATTGAGCAGCAAGTTGTTTGGGGTTGATAGGATTTCATTCTGTGATTGTTTTAGAAGCCCAATAGTAACAATTCTTGCAAGTCAGAAGTGTATCTAAATAATTGTCACAGATTGTTCATGTTTTTCTTCAGGCTGGTTCTGTGCTTTTGTTCCCTGCTTTAAAGTGAACTTCTCTAGAATGTTTTGCTGGGGTTTTTTTTTGTTTTTTTCACAAAACCAGTGATTAATTTGTATGCATCCTGTTTAATCTGTCAGTCTTAAATCCATTACTTACCTGCCATACTTGGAAATGCAAGGTAAATGCAGGGAAATGTTGGATAGACACATACTGTAAGACTATGCTAAATAAAATGCTATCTTTGGGGGTTTTGAGGTTTGTGCAGAAGGAACTCCTGAAATTTAAGTTGATGTATGGATTAAAGTGTAAAAGGTTAAAATCAAAAGCTGTTGTTGTAGTCGAAAGAATAAAGTGGGAGGAAATTATTCGGTTATTTCAGTTTCTAGATTGCATGTTGAATAGGTAGTCAAGATTTTGGCAGCCAAGTAACAGGCTTGAAGAGGATCAGGAAGAACTGTCAGGCCTGACTTTGCTTAGACTGTTATAAGAAGGGAAAAAAAAGTAATATCATTTCTGGAAAAAAGATCCTGCTGGGTTCAATGGGAGGTCTGGGGATTTAACCATGTCTTTAACTCCTAAATTTCAATATAATTATCTTCCCTTCTACAGTTTGCATTCTGTGCTACAGATGAGGATTATAAGTGTGACCTGGTACATCCCTTGCTGCCAGCCTGTTCTTTAGAGCAGAGGATGTGGTGGTTGTTGTAAAATACCAGCTTTGAGAGATGCAGAAAGAACGCTGTCTCTAGAACATTGCTATTCTCTTGGTCTGACTTCACCAGCCATAGGGATGTGTTATGCTAATATTAGTTTTCCTGTTTGAAGCAGATTGTAGATGTTCTAATAATTGACCATAAGTAACAAAGTTGGTCTGTTATTGGAAGACTGATAAATTCTCACTGCAAATGTTCTAAAGTTCTAAATGCAAACATTGTTGTGGTTTATGTTTATGGCTGAATTTTCCCAAAGTTAGTGTCATGTCATATATGGAGATTGCAGTTTGGAATAATGTGGAGAAGTATTGACGTGAAGAAAGCATGTGAATGAGAATGTCCTGGGGTGACTTTATGATGCTGGTATCCTTAATCGTCTGGTTTATGGACAGAGAGCTTCTTAAAAATGTATGTCTTCAAGCAGGAGTGATGTAAATGTTTGAAAGATCACATGATAGGAGTTTGTTGCAAAGATGTTATCTGCATTAAACCAGTTATTCCAAGCTTAAATTAAAAGAGTGGGAAAAACACTACTTTCTGGAGAAGCATGGGTTAGTACTTCAGTTGGAAAGCTGTTAGTGTTTGACACAGACTCTAGGTTTAACTAGTCTGCTTATTTCAGTGTGATGTCTAACTTGCTGATCAGCTGTTTTCTAGAAACAAAAAGACGCTCCGTGCTGCCAGCAGCTGCTAAGTGTTGTGTGTACAGCATCCATTGTTGGGGAGATGCGCGTGCTGCCTCCGTAGAGTTTTGTGGGTCTCTGTGTGGGAGGAAAAAGCAAACCAACTGAAACAGTGAAATTCAGACTATAGAGTAAGCAAGCAAGTGCTCTCAGAAGTTAGCCTGCTGTCGTTGCATTGTTAAAAATCCTTCAGAGTTTATTTTCTTTCAGGGGAAAGAAAATTGAGAGAAGGACCTTTTTTTTTCTTTTTTAAGTGAACTGAACCAACTTTAAAGATGGTAACATGCTATCCTCAAAACACAGTTGAGCTATTAACAAAAATTCTGGAGATAGTTTCTTCTAATATGCTGTTCCATGTAGAGTGATTCTTGCAGAACAGGTGAATAAAAAATAGGTTCAGTATTCACGTGAGCACCATGCTTAGATTTTAGAACCTATTAGTGCCTCAAGCTGTCCCAATAGGTGAAGAAACTAAAGGCAAAAGTGATAAAATAATTTTGCTCATTGTTCCCCTAAATGTAATGATGAAATTGTTTGAATAAGTTGGGGAGATTTAAAAGAAATTGCTCATTGATGTGTTCCTGAATTACTCATGGTAAAGCTTATATTTTTTGCTAGAGTGGAGTAATAAAAAAAAAGCCAACAAAATTCTGTAACTCACACCAGACCTTTGACAACTAAGCTTAAAAAAAATAGGGATATGGCTAATGTGACTCTTTTGTTCTGGAAGTTTGCTTTTACCAAACTATGAAGAAGAAATCTTAAGTGATGCCAAAAGAAGGTGTGTTGATCCAAATCCTGCCTTGGTTGTACACACTTGCCTTCTTTCATGAAGGCCCTTAATTTGCTGCTGCAGTTGAAAGACATTTGTGTTAGCCTTTGCAGATTACAAGACAATGTCACTTCTGCCACTTCCTGTCTTAACCAGGAAACCCAGAGAGAAATGAAACCATCCAGAGAAAAATGAAAACTTTTTGAAGCTGTAAAGCCTTTCTCAGATAACGGAGCATGACTTCTTTACATTGCAAAGAATGAGCTTAAGGGAGAATCAGAACGAAGAGAGCTGAGGGAGGCTAAATTTAAAAAACATGGGAAAAAGTCCTAATTTCTACACCTCTTCAAATGTCTGGCTATAGTGTTATTCAGAATTAAAATTTAGGAAGTGTTGAATAAAAGGCTGGAAAGCTAGTATTTTTTTGGCAGTGTTTGATTTGGTTGTTATTTTTCTTTCCTCTCTGTTAGCCATTATACAGTTTACCTTTTAAAAGTGGTACAATTCCTGACTGAACAGTCAAAATACCAGTCAATACTAAGAGGTAAAGGTGTCTGTAGGAAGACGAAGCCAAAGAGCTTTTATAACTTAACATGTTACTATTTCAGGTGCTTGAGTCTGCTTTACTTCAAGAATTCAAGATCCTAATTGTGGGACAGTGGTGTCTTTTAAAGACACAAATGCCTTTAAAAAATTGAGTCTCATGTCAGCTGTACATGTCAGATATGGTTGGCTCTTTTAAGTTATTGAGAAGCAATAGCAACAAATCTTCCTTCTAAAAAATAAGTGCATTTGTTGCTGTCTTAAAGTAATTTTATTTGTTTACAGGTGTCAGCTGTGATGCATGTTTAAAAGGAAATTTTCGAGGTCGCCGGTACAAGTGTTTAATTTGCTACGATTACGATCTGTGTGCAACTTGTTATGAAAGTGGTGCAACGACAACAAGGCATACAACTGACCATCCAATGCAGTGCATACTAACAAGAGTAGATTTTGGTAAGTGATAATTTCAAACTCCAGTAATTTGTTGCTATATTGTATCCACAAACATAATGCTGATTTTCATGTTTCTAATTATTAATCACTTCCCCCATTAGTGCACTAAAAATAAGGGCCAAATTCTTGAGTTCTAATAAGCAGGCATGTTTTATTTGATAGAAGAGGTGGTTATTTTTTTTTAACTGCTTCATATGTGTTTCTGACATTTTTATTTTGGTCTGATTACAGCAGATTATCAGGTTAATAAATATACTTCATAACAGTGAATACTGTTAAAAGTGCCACAGTCAACAGGCAGAAAAAAATCCTGGTGAGATTTTGTAGGAAGGTACTTCATTTGTGATTTTTGTGGGACTGTAAGTATAGGAAACATAGTGATGGGCTGCAGTGAGTATGAGAGATTAATGGTAAGGACTAGCATGTCTTTTTGGCATTCCTTTGTAGAGCTTCTAATCCAAAAGTTATTTCTAACTGTAAAGCCTTGTGGATATTTAAAATAAATATTAATTGTTCTTCTGTCCTTTCCAGTTTGTTTTTTCTATTGCATTGTAGTTGAAACAGGTTGTAACTTGTGAGAAATGATTTTGTGACAGTCCACTGCTCTGCAATGTTCCTGATGCTGGACATGTATTTTCTTTTGATGTCAAACACATGGGACTAGCATTTCAGTATTCTTTTCTAGTGAGTGCAGCTGTAGTCTTCATTTTTTGAATTCTTTTAAATATGATGTTTTCTCGAAAGCTGAAGGCTTAACTTCTTTACCCTTTTGATTAGAACAGAAGTAAAATGTATACTTTATTGGCCTAAAGTTTAGGGAGTAGCTCTGTATAGAAACATGCAGTTTCTTAAAACAATGTTGATATGAAGTTGTCTTAAATTTTCTTTCAATTCTCAGAGCTGTTCTTTCCCTGAGACTGCCTGGTCATCACTTCAGAAATTCAGATGGGAGTCTGTAGTTTGAAAGGAAGTAATATAGTGCACTATCAAAAATACATGCACCTATTTTTACTTACATCTTTCTTGTCAGGCTTTTCTTTTTTCATCTGTGTACAGTATTGGGGATTGAGGTCACTGTTTCAAATGCACAGTGAAACTTCCTAATCTGTTAGCAACAGTTATTTTTGGATATTAAACATGGGCTAAAAGGATGGAATTGCTCTAAGTACTAAGTGCTAATCACAAGGGTAAGACGACTGAAACATACTAACATTAAATGTCAAAGATTTCTGTGTATTGCAATGAGAACTTGTTCTAAATGATACCTTTTTTCAAAATGCCTATAATCAGAAACTGAGAATTACTAAGAATTATGTTTTGCTTCTTGAAACTTGGGTACTTCTCTTTTGGAGGTCTTTGATAATTGTACCTTTGGCTTAATGCCTTTTATGTGTGTATGTTGTAGACACACAGAGGAGTTATTTTTTACTATTTAAGTATGCATGAAGATGGTTCACAGAGAAGTATTGAGATGGGTAATAGGATTGGAAGAGCAGCTTCTATATTGCTTGGTGTATATGCTGTTTATTCTCTAAATGAGACTAAGAAATCAAGGTCTGTAAATTTGATATGACTTGATATCCAAGCACTGCTCCCACAGTATCAAGAAAATACTGCAGCTCAGCTCTGTAGTAAGACTTCCAGTTTGATTAACTCTGCAGAACAGTAATATCACCAAATTGTGAGCCACAGCACAGAGGTGGCATTGAATTACTACTGATCTTGTAAACTTATAGAGTGGAGAATGAATTGGGAAAATTGATAAATTACATATTCCTTAGCGTTCAGGAAGATCTGTGACATCATTCCTAAAATGTTTTGATTTTAGAGTTCCCTGTAGAAAACACATAAAGGCATGTACATTACGGTATTGTACAGATGCTGTAAAGAAACTGGTGACTTTTTGAAGAGCCTTGTGTGGCCAAGGAGACCATGTGACTTTAAAGACCATGCAAAAAATTTGGCACTAAAAAATGGTAAATTTAGTTAGAAAATCAATAATAAATGGTAGAAGTAATCTAAAATCACCTGATTCAGGGTTGATGGATAGTTGTATTAGTGGATATTAAAATCACCAAGGTTGGATGTTAATGTCTGAGAAGAAAATAACCTCAAGGGTAAAATTGGCAACTAAGTGGTATTGTGGTTTATTCCCAGCCATCAGCCAAGCCCCACACAAACATTTGCTCACTCCCCACCCACAGAATCAGGGAGATCATTGGAAGCGTAAAAGCTGAAAACTCTTGTCTTCAAGACATTTTAATAGGGAAAGTAAAAACTATGCACACAAGCAAAGCAAAACAAGGAATTCATTCAGTGCTTCCTACAGCCATGCAGGTGGTCAGACATCCCTGGAGAGCAAGGCCCCATTATTATGCCTTGTGGTGACTTGGGAAGACAACATCACCCCAAATGTCCCCTCTTTCTTCCCCACTTCATACACTATATCCTGAGCATGATCCAGAATTTCCCTTTGGTCAATTGGGGTGACCTGTCCTGGCTGTGTTTCCTCCAAGTCTCCCATGCATCCCAGCTTCCTCACTGTTGTAGCAGTGCAAAAAGCAGAAAAGGCCTTGACTGTCTGTAAGCCCTGCTCAGCAATAACAAAAACATCTTGATATTATCAGCCCTGTATTCAACACAAATCCAGAAGATAGCCCTGTACTTCACACTGTGAAGAAAATGAACTCTATCCCAGCTGAAACCAGCACAAGCACAGACCTAATAAAGTCTTCAGTAGTTTCCTGGTGATGTGGGAAGTCAAATGAGAGTGTTTGTAATGTATGACAGAATTTTCTTAAGTTAGCAAGATATTACCAGAAGCAAACTGGAAGGCTGTTAGTGTAACTAGGTGTATGAATTGTTGTTTGCTTGGCTGTTGACAAAGTTCAGTACTGTTATCTGTAGACAGGTTTGTTTCAAAAGTATGAATTTTAATAGAAGTAAACTTAAAGAGTTTGTGCTTATGATATGGAGGAAAGTGGACAGCCACTGAAAAAACTAGTATTTTATCAAGGAAAAGGAAGCAGAGTGGGGAATCCTTCTGCTGCAAAACTGATGCAAGCACTTCAGAGGAAGTCACTGTCATTTTTCTGATTTCAAAAGTGCACATGGTGGGGAATCAGCAAATCATTTGCCCAAAATCCATCTGCTACTGATGATAAGGACCCTGTGCCATTAAATCCGACCACCACTCTAGCCAGGACTGTCTAGATGTGGGTATCTGGGGAGTTCGCTGAAGTACTCTGCCTGAAGGTGCAACCAAGTTGTTTGTGGTAGACAGCTGACAACGTGGATGATCCTTTCAGCATAGAGAAAGTCACATATTGTTTACCTCCGTGAAAGTTACGCTCAGTTTTTAGAATTCCTAGGTACTGTAATAATGTTGCAGAATATACTGGAAGAAGATGGACTTTTTCAGGGACTCTGAAAGAGCTTTTGTTGTCAGTTTGACACATGATTTTTTTTTTTCCCTGAGATTCAGACATAGGAGCCAGTATAAGAACACTGAAAACAAGTAAAAAGCTCTAGTGGTTTCTGGCTGTGCATGTTCACTCTTGCACCATCTGGTTGCCATATTTATCTTTCAGGAGTCAGTAAATAACCTATACATATTAATTTGGAAGCAAGATGGACTTCAGAACAATGGCAGTGCTGTTGTTCCTCAGCCCCCACAAGAGATACCCGGCAAAATGCTTCAACACACACCAAGAGCGATGTGCTGCTGTAAGAGGGACAGAGCTTAAAATAAAGTATGAAGTCTCATATGTAATGAGAAGTGGCCTTTCATGCACAAATCCCATTAGTTTATTTCAGAGGGGTCAAAAAGTAGAATTATAATAGGCCTGTGTAAAGAGCAGGAATGTGCTTACCAGGCAGCCACTGTACTTTTGTGGTCTTTGTAGATCAGTTTGTCAGAGAGCTTCACAGCAAATTTCCTAGTTTTCCTTTTTTCTAAAAAATGTTAGGATGCTTTAGGGTCTAAGCATGTGGCTTGCCCATTACCCCATGGTTTTAAACTGGCTATACTGACAAAGACAGTAATACAAATTGTTCATAGGATTCCCTACCAAAATCATATTGTGTTACTTAAATCATGTTGTGTTACTTTCATCGAAGTACAGAACCTACCTTGGTTCAGAAGTGCCTTCACTTGTCAGCTAAGGTGGTTGTGTGACAGAAGATCCTGACACCTTTTGTGCCCAGTTCTAGGCAGAGAGAACTGGTTAGGTAATGGGTACCATACTAATGTGTAGTATGGGATTGACTGGATTCACCAAAGTTCAGCTTGAGACTTTTGTGGGTTTTTGGTTTGATTTTGATTTTTTTTTCACAAAGTGAAAAAAAAGTCTGAGCATCATTGTTTGTTTGGAACAGGACTCAGGACTAGCTTTGAGGGTAATATGGCTGCTTGATAAGTGATACAGGAACTTGTATACTTGGTTTTGTTAAGTGGTGTGTTGCCACCATTTGGCTTCTTCAAGCATTGAAGAAGATTAAATAAATGCTCTACAACTTGTGTCATACCAACATTTTTATCTGTATGTATATATTGCATTGAAATTACATTACTTACATGAAGAAAAGTGAAACTAAAATTCCATACTGCTGTGTATCCTTGTAAAGAATTATGTCTTAACAAAAACTACAAGCTGTTAGAAAATGTCTCTTTGAAAGATTGATTTTTATCTGAAGAATTCTGTGATACCTCTGTTTTGTCACTAACCTCCTACCACTCCTTAAGAATGTGCTAGATTTTAATATGAAGTGTACACTGAACTTTTGTAGCTATAGATGGATAAAAAAAGCAAAACTGCTGATATTTTTGATTGCATTTCCACATTTAATTTAGGTTGTTTCTTGGAATTTTTTTTTCCCCACCAAGGAAAAGCTGTAATGTGTAAACACTGTTGTGCTTGAAAACCGGCTTCATAAATGACTATTGGGGGTCCTCATCAGAGTGTTCTGATCCTTCTACTCCTTTGTATTCTTGCCCTAACTGATAAGGAATGTGGGTCATGAGTCTTATCCCAGAGGAGTATGCAACTGAATCTAGTTTTACTTTTTACTAAATATTTCTACTTGTCTTCCTAGACATCTTGAACAGAGGGCTTTAAAAGTCTAGAGGAGTTTGAAGAATTATGGACTCTTGCTTTTGTCTTTGAAATGAACCAAAATTTTAATACCTGAAAGATATCTTTGTGGTCAGAAGAGACAAATCTTTGGTCATGGGAACATTGCATTCTGAACTTATAGACTTATAAATTAAAAGAGCAATACAATTGTAGGCTGCTTCCTTTCTGCAGGCATGGAGGCATGGTGTTTTTGTTTCTTCCCATATTTTCTCTAATTCTTCATTAACTTCATTAGCAAAGGACCCCTTGGTAGTCAAAGACATGGCTGTTCATAATTTTAGGATTTTTTATGTGCTTGTAAAGAAAAAAAAACAGATGGAGAAATACCCATTCAGTACCTTCAGTGCTAAAATCTGACACAAAGATTCATGAGACCACTTGGTTACCAACCTTATGTTTTTTTAACTTAGATTTTAATTTAAAGGAAAATTTATCTGGTGATCTGTATTTCACATTAGAAAAAATATTTTGATTGTAAGAGAGATTAAAGTTGAAGAGGAAAAAAGAAGGGAGGTATAAACTTACAAGGAAAAAATATCTAGATTTGCCAGTTTTAACTTCTATGCTTTTTTTAATATTTCTTTTTCCAGAAGAAGTCATATTTGTTTGGCATTCTCATGTATGTTGTATATTATGGGATGGATGTGGAAGTAGGTGTGAGTGGGAGAACACGCCAGAGTGTATAGTCAGGAGTCTGCAAAGAACTCCAATTTTTATTTTATTAGTGAATAAATGTTTTGTTTTGTATTCTTGGAAAACAAGGGACAACACAGGATTTGACAGTCTTGTCAAACCTTCCCCCTCTGTGATAGAACTGTATGTACTGCTAAAATTCTTGCTATCTGGGTTGAGCTAACAGTGTATCTAAGGAAAAGATACCTCTATGTGCGTGCTTATCTATTTACAACTCTCTCCAGATGGGTTGTGACCCTGGGCCTTTTGCTGAGCTGTGCAGTTGGTTGGTGCTGTTGCCTTACTTGAAAATACATTCATTCATTCTCAGTGAGTTTAATAGGTAGAGGTTTTTAAGCAATCTGATATTTAAGAGGTTTTTTTATTTGGTTGGGCTTTTTAGGTTTTTTTTTGTTGTTGTTTTTGTATATTGATATGAATGAGAAGTTTATTCATGTTTCCTGTAAAATGCAAAATACCTGCAGAGAATGAGAGAGAATGATGTTCTTTTCTTGCGTGGTTTGATAAATTTTCATCCTGAGTTTGGGCAACTTCTATGTTGGCAACTTAAAAAGTGCCTACTTTTTATCTGTGGTGCAGAAGTACTCACATTCAACACACCTAAAAGGTGAAGCCAGTCAGATTCCTGAAGTCAGATTCCTTTTTCACTATCAAACTTTTATATATTTGAGACATAACTACTTACTGCAAAACAGTGGTTCAACTATGGCAGAAATACTCACATTTGGTATCACCGAGGACTTGTAAATTTTACTTGAAATTTGAGGTTTTATCAAGAGTTAATCTTCTAAAATTTCATTTTATGATTGAAAAATACCATAGTTGACCCTGTATGTGGCATAAGAACAGTGGTGGAAAAGTGAAAGCTTGGCAGTATCAGCAGCATCATGATGGAAGTCTTTTTTTCCCAGTGAAGATTAGAAAACTAAGTTATGCGTGCTAATGAAAGTTAAATGTAGTCTCTGGTTTCTTTCACCAGTAACTAAAGCCCTCCTGAATATAGCCATTTCAATGAAAAAACAGATTCATTTAGCAGGGATTACAGTGAAGTACATTTATAAACAGAAGTTGATGTGAACAAAATTTATGGTGATACTGCTTTAAAGTAACTTCTATTTAATCTCTTCCTGTTTCAGACTTGTACTATGGTGGAGAAGCTTTCTCTGTAGAGCAGCCACAGTCTTTCACTTGTCCTTATTGTGGGAAAATGGGTTATACGGAAACATCTCTTCAAGAACATGTTACTTCTGAGCATGCAGAAACATCAACAGAAGTGGTAAGACGCCTCAGAACTTGCATTCATGGTGGAAATATTTTAAATTGTCTCATTTCTGAAAAATTGTCTTTCTGTTCTTTCTTGAAGCATGGATTCATTTAAATGCTTTGTCAAAAGAGAAAGTACCTGCATTTGAGAATGACATCAAAATTCTTTTATGATTTATGGGTATCGTAATATAATGTGCTTGCTTCCTTCTTTTGGAGTTTTTGTTTTTTGTCCTGATACAAAGGCTGCCATGTTTAGGAGATTGTTATACTACAAGACAGAATTTAGAAAGTTCTCACAATTATTCAGTCTAGCTGTGTCTCCCTTTTCAAAATTAGTGTGTAATTGTTCTTCAAGCTTACAGCTATGATGGTCTTTATAACTGTAAGAGAGGAATGCATGCAGATAGTTTGTTTTCTAATAACTTTTTAATGGACCTCTTATACAGTGGGATTCTAGAATTATTTAAAAACTATTCTGTAAAAATCAGGGGCTTTTCCCCCATCCCTAACCATTGGGACACTAAATATGATTTAAAATGCACTTCTTAATCAAGTTTCAACACAAATACCCTCTTTGGAGTTAACTCCTACTATCTTGATTGACCTTGGGGACAGGAAAAACTGGGTGTTAGCAGTTTAGCAGAATGAGATGGAGGGTGCTGTTCTGTGGTTAACTGTTTTACCCTAGACCCCTTGGAAAAAAGTAATGCTTGAAGTGGATTACTCATCACTAATACATTGAGTGAAATTAGTTATAAATAGGTTCTCTATTCTGATCTTCCAGTTTTCTTGCTTTTCAAAGAATTCTGTAGAAGAAAATGAATGACTCTTCAGACCTAATAATGAACTTAGGTGAAGGGGTGGTACAGAAGAGTGTTTGATCACATATTTGGGAACTCAAAGGTGTTACGATCTGTCTTAAAAACACAGGAAGTGTTTACAATCCGTTGCACTGTGGTATACTATTTAACTCAATGACGTGCTGCAATTTTTATAATCTGAATTTTTCTTAAACTTTGCAACTTTCAAACATAGCATCAACCGTTGAAAGTTCTGTGTTTGGATGACTTTATTTTATTTGGTGGTTTGGTATTGCAGTTCTGATTTGCACCACTTGATGTCAGTGATATGTTCCTAACACAGTGTTCACAGATCCTGGTTTTTAAACTTGACATGCCCTTGCTTACAGTTGTGACTTCTAGAACCCCACATGTAAGGCCTGAATTTGTGATTCTTGACAGCTGCTACTCTGGTGAATCCTGAAAGAGTTACACGTGTAGGAAAAAAAAAAACCCCACGGAGCTTTTCTTTTTATGCATCAGTCTGCAGCATTGCTATATTGTTGTTCCAGACAATGATAAAGGACAATATTTTAATCCTTGAATATGATTGTTACTGTTTGTGCTAAGTTTTGAATCCGGCATTTGTGATAAGTGTTTAGTATGCATGCACATAAAATTGTTTAGGTACTGTACCCTTACTGGGATAGTGAAGGGCTACAAGACTAGTAAAGAGGGAAATACTGTGGATCCTAAATGTTTGTGGTTATAGGCTTTCAGACAATTACTTATGTTTAGATACTGAGCTTGTAGTCATTTGAGTATCTCCTTCAAAAGAGGTGTTTTATTTTAGACATGTGTTTTTAGGGATGTAAGGAAGCTTTACAGGGACAGAATAATTTTTATTTTAAACTATTTATAAATTTATATCTTTGCCTCCAGTTTTTCAAAGAATAAGCAAAAAAAATTCATCTGTTTAATTCTGTCATTTTTTTATTCAGAGTGATGCATATAAGTTTACTTTCTGCTGATTTTTGTCAAGTACAGGCATTGGTAAGTACAACAGTGTTAGGTATCTGCAGGCAGGAATCACAGGCTGAATGAGGTTGAAGGGGACCTCTGGAGGTCATCTTGAGCAGAATCACGTGCAGCTGGTTGCTCAGGACGATGTCCAGACAGTTCTTTAGTAGTGACTCCACAGTTAACTCTCCAGTTAACTTGTGCTCGGCGATCCTCTCAGTGAAAAATGTTTCAGTGTTTCCTTATGTTTATGAAGAAACTCCTGTGTTTGAATTTGTGCCCATTGTCTCTTATCCTGTCACTGCATGGCTCCATCATCCTTTCAGGTTCCCTTTAAGTATTCATGGACATTCCTAAGATCCATCCCCTGTTACCCTACCCTTCTCCAGGCTGAACAGCTCCATCTTTCTCAGCCTTTCCTCCATTCCTCTTTGTAACCTTTTACTGAGCTATTTGAAGTGTGTGTTTGTGTTTGGAGCTGAGAGCTGGGCACTCTGGTGCTGGGTGAAGGATCACAACCCTTGACATGCTGGCAGCTTTCTGTTCAGTGTAGCCCAGAACACCACTGGCTTTCTTTGCCACATAAGCATGCTGCTGGCCCATGGTCCACCAGGACCCCAGGTCCTTTGCTGCAAAGCTGTGTTCTGTATGACTGGCCTCCAGTGTGTGCTGGTTCCTGGGGCAATTGCTGCCCAGGTGCAAGACTTCGTACTTCACCTTTTTGCGGTTCCTGTTGTCTCATCAGTTTTTAAGGTCACTCTAAATGGCAGCACAGCCCCCTAGCATATCAGCCACTCCTCCTAGTTTTGTGTAATCAGCAGAATTGCCACTGATCACCACCCTCTGAGCCCATCCGCTGAGACAGTTTTCACTCCACCCCATTCTCTACTTATCCAGCCTGAGCCATCAGCAACTTACCCTTCAGCATCCTGTGAGAGGCAGTGTCAGTGGTGTTACTTGAAGTTCAGGTAGGCAATTCCCTTACTCTCCAGTCATTTACCACGCCACACACTTCAGCGTTGAGGTTTATGAAGCTGGTCAAGCGTGTCTTCCACTTTGTGAAGCCAGTGCTGACAACTATTGATGATTTTCTTGTCTTTAATAGTGCCTAAAAATAGTTAACAATAGTTTCCTCACTTTCCCAGGGATCAAAGCAAGTTGACCGGCCTGTAGTTCCCTAGGTCCTCCTCTTGCCTGTCTTTAAGATAGGAGTGAAATTTGCTTTACTCCAGTCCTCAGGCACCTCATGCAGTCACCATGATCGTTGAAAGGTTGAGAGGAAGCTCACAGTAGTATCTGCCAGCTCTCTCAGCACCTCTTGGTGCATCACACCCATCACAGCCTGTGAGTTTAAGCATTCCAGTTCATGAAAGTATTCTGCAGAGTAATCCTCTTCCAGCAGGGGATTGTCTTTACTACTCCAGATGTTACCCCTGCTCTCCTGGGCCTGGAGTTGCTAAAGACCAGTCTTTCCAGTAAAGACCATAGCAAAGGAAGTATTCAGTACTTCAGCCTCTTCTGTGTCCTGTGTAACTAGGTCTCACATCTTTTGAGCAATCAGCCTACATCTTTCCTAGTTAGCTCTTTATTTCCTATGCACTTCTAGAAGACCTTTTTGTAACCTTGAACATTAACTTGCCTGATTCAGTTCCATTTGGGCTTCAGCTTTGCTTACGTTGCCCTGTGATGCTCAGATAATGCTTATGTGGGGTTATGTATGTTTTCTTTTTGTGTTTGAGTATGTCCAGGAGTATCTTGATCATCCATGTAGGCCTCCTGGAATATTCATTGGGATGGAGAACTCTCAAGTTTGTGGGGGAGTGGTCTTTCAGTACCAAGAGACTTTCTTGAAGCCCCTTTACTCTCCAGGTTTATACACCATGGGACTCCTCCAAGCAGGTATTTTAAGAGGCTGAAGTTTGCTTTGCTAAGGTCCAGGGCCATGAGCTTGTTTTTCATCTCTTCTTTCCTGCCCTCAGGATCTTGAACTCACCATGTCAAGGTCACTGCAGTCAAGGCTTTCTTTGACCGTCGCATCCCAACTGAGCCTCTCCTTGTTGTTAATTATGAAGTCCCACATAGCACCTCCCCTCGTGTGCTCCTTTGTCACTTGGAGGAGGAAGTTACCCTGAGTGCACTCCAGGAGCCTCTTGGATTGCAGTCACACTGTATGTCCCTCCAGCAGATACTGGCGTGGTGGAAGAGCTCCACGAGGATCAGGTCCTGCAAGTGTGAGGCAGCTGCTCTATGTCTCTGGAGTGCCTGATCTGTTTGTTCCTCATAGTCAGGTGGCCTATAGTAGACCACTCCTGTAACATCCCCTGTTTTCTTCCTAATTCCAGCATGTAAGATCTCCATCAGGTCATCTTCCATCCAGATAGTGCTTTTGATGAACCCCAGCTGCTCTCTCACTTAAAGGATAAGCCTTCCTTCCTGTTGAAAGAGCCCTCTTCCTCTTCTAGTGAGCCAGTATTTCTTTACCCATACAATGTTCAGGGACAATGGTTAGAATTGGAAGGCAGAGGAATCTGGGAATCAGATTGTTTTTGTTTGTGTTGAGGTTTCAGCTTAGTTGGACTGGTCCAGATAAAATGCAGTGTTCAAACAGAAGTTTACTAGCACAGTAAGGTACAAAAAGATTTAGGAAACTTCATAAAATACAATCTCTTCAGTCTTGTTTCATAACAGGGATGTAAATTTTCTGCTACTACATTGCACTGCAGCAGCTTTCTCACCTTTGGGAGGCAGTAACTAGGCTCATTGTAGATGAATTGTAGGTTGTAGATGAAACTAGGTTGTCAATACTTCAATGATAAAACTGGGGAGAGCTTTTTGCAGTAATGAAATGGACAATCTGAGACAGTCTCAATGTCTCAATCTTCATCCTCAAATCCCAGTGACTCTTGTTGAGGTTACAGAAGTGCTGTCACTTAAAGTGGTTACTTTGTATGTAAGTGGGGAAGTAGTGATAATATAAGCACAGTTCTGGAAACCGGCAAATGTTCTGTGAATGGGATTGACTTAGGCCTTTTAGAGTCATCATTCAGGGTTGCATGGTGATTTCTTAATACAAATGCTCATAAATTCAAGAAAAGGTGTTGACGTCATTTGCCTTTTGTCTGCACCATTTATTCATGCATGTTATAATTAACAAGGATTTTAGCTGTGTCACACTTAATCAGGGATCCAGCAGTCTTTGTTGTGACTCTGACAGAGCTTGAGCTTAACTAAATTGTTGTTTGTGCATAACAGTACTTAAGTAACTTTCCCTAGTTGAGAGTTCTTGAAAGTTCAGTTGATCCTTAGGGTTGCGATACTCTGGTTCCTTCTTACTCAATATTTGTTATAACCTTTTCTTAATTGATGTTTTTCTGAGGTCTGAGTATATTTATATTCACAAATATATGCAGTTCATAACACCTTTGTCACCTTAACAAAGAACTTTGTGGTGATTCCTGCTTTCAGGAGTTGGTTGTTCTTCTTAGGTTGGGTTTCTGCTTCCTCAGAGCAGCTTAAATGAAAGAAGATTGCTTTGAAAGTATTGTGTTCTCTTGGTATTTGAAAATTAAGCCATTGTAATGAAGTTTAGGGAATTCAGAACCATCTGTCTAACACACATCCATTTCTATATCCCTACAGGGTAGCTATATGATATGCTGGCATAGCCGAGTATTTATTAGATTATGTTGTGATACATTGCCCTATAGTAAATTTGCTTGGCTTCTGTAGTGGAGAGAAATGTTGAAGATTGAAAATAAGAAGGAAGGAGTTGTAGCAAAAAGCTTTTAAAATGCCTGGTTTTCTTTTCAGAACTGACCATTGAAATTAAAGATGAATGAGATGCAGCAGTTCCTGTCAAAAGCAGTTGAGATTTTACAGTAAATTTATTTCAAGACCCTGTTCTCACCTCCATGAGAGTACAACAGATGTGTGCTCTTTTATACAGGTGTTCTTAATGCTCATGGTCTTCATTCAACAGCTTAAGCATACACAGGAAAAATGAAAGAACACTGGAAGATGGCTGTTGGTGGAGTCATTCAAAGAACAAGTCGTAATTATGGCAATAGTAGTGGTAATGTTTGCCTGCTTTGTTAACTGTATTTTGGTTTAACAAACAAAACCCACCAGGCAAAAACTGAAGTTGGGGGAAAAAAAATCCAAAACCAAAGAGAAACCTCAGCACCTGTTCTCAAAATACTGTTGTGGATAGGGTATGAAGACCAGCCCTTCTCTGCCAAATGTGCACTGCCTGGGTGGGATGGTCTCAGCTTGATACTTAGCAAATAAGGGCAGTTTCATTCTGATTCCTGTGCTGGGATGAGTGTCAAGCAGGCAAATAATATTCCTGTATGATTCGACTCTACTGTCTGTGACAGAATCAGCATGAAAAAATACTAATTTTCAAGACCTTGCAAATTGATTTTGAGAACCCTAGCTCTGGTTTTCATAGATTTTTGAAATTCATAAAGTAAAAGATGACTAAATGAATGTCTGCACTTCAGTAAGTTTTCTGAATTTATTGAATACATTGGTATCCAGGTGTTTGTGAATACCAAAATGTGATTTTAAAGCACAAGAACCAAAATCTAATGATTGACTTGATACAAGTTCTATTTCTTGTGATACTTACCAAGTTGGGTTTTTCCTTGCTTTGTCGTTTCAGATTTGTCCAATATGTGCAGCATTACCTGGAGGGGATCCAAATCACGTAACAGATGACTTTGCAGCTCATCTTACACTGGAACACAGAGCTCCTAGAGATTTAATATCCTTTCCAATTTGAGGCAAAGAGGCTAGACTGTTTCACATAGTAGTCATGGTGACTTGGTTTGATTTTTGTAGTGAAAGGGTCATATTCTGGATTTCCTGGAACTTAGGTTGCTAAAGATATGTATGTCAAAAATAAAGACGTTCATCTGCTCATTTAAAAAAATGTGGTTGTCAGACTGTGCACAGACTGGTAGGTATACTTGAGAGTGTTTTTTGCTCTAACAGCAGAAACATTTTAAAGGATTTTGGAATAGTGAGGTTTTTTCCTACTCGTACTATGTTTTATCCTGCCTCATAATTACTCTCGGTGCTTCATGTTTCATGTGTGAAGATTCACTGCTGTATATATTTATGACATCAAGATGACTCAAGCATAGCTGCTTGTAACAAAAGATTGTAAACTTGCTTAACTACTTTTAACACAATCTTATAAAAACATAGTTTTGTAGTGTTACTGACATTTTGTAATACAACTCAGAAAAACTTCAGATTTTCTGGGAAATCAGATGTTGTCCTTCAGTTACCTTAGCAGCCAGTTACGGACATTTATCTATGCTTGATGGCTGAAGAGCTGGAATGATTGGGACTTTTTCATACTTGTTATTGGAATATTTCAAATATAGGAATATTTCAAGTACAGAAATATCTCAAAACACTTTAATTGCAATTGGGAAAGTTACCCCAGAGTCCTGTGTCTCTTTGAAAAATCCCCAGATACTGTCCTGTTCCAACATGTTTAGTTATGAAAAGCTTGCCAAACTACATAAGGTCACTAGTCCATCTAATTTAGCAACTCGTCTCCAGCAGCATCCAAAATTTGCATGCTCAGAAGTGCAAGATGCTCTGTACTAAGCAAAGTGTGTTCTGTGCTGGGGAGGTTTTCCTCTTACACTCTAGATGTTAAGTTTTACACTGTAGCGTAACCAACAGTTTTGAAAGAAGCAAATGTTCTGTAAAGTCTTCTCGTAATGGCCAGAAGCTCTCTCTTGCCATGGCAAGTCAAGTTCTTTATCACCATGACATCACGAGTTTCCGCCTCCTAACTGTGATTTATGAAAAGTACATTGGATGCTACCCTTACACAGAAATTGATACTATATGAGTGGTAACCATACTACTATAAAAATGAAAAACACAGGAGATGGAGATCTAAGCTAAATTATAGTAACACTAAAATAAAATATTAAAGCCTATGCTATTTCATTTTTCACCAGTGAGTCGTACTAGTGATTGATTTTTAAGAAGAAGCCTTATCTGGACTGTTTTGGAGGAATGAATGTTAACAAATTTATGACAAAAATAATCTTTAAATTTGTTGATTACTTCAGAATTTATATGAGAATCTATTGAAAAAAAGGCACAGAATACAAGCATCTGAGAGGGGGAAGTGGGAGAAAATGAAAGGCATCGTTGTCCTTCTGGAATTGGTAATATTTCTTGGGCTCTAGGAAGAAAGGTGAAACAAAGGGATGTGATGGATGTGCTGAATACTCCAGAAATCTGCAATTTCATAGGGACTGAAGTGATGAAGTTTCTTGGATAAAAGCATGAAGTACAGAAGTCAAAAGGAATTTGGTAATTATTCTGATGGGAAAAATAACTTGCAGTAAACATTTTTATTGTATTTGATACTTAATGTAAGAATTGGAAAGGGAGAACTGAAATCTGCCTCAGTGGTAAACTTGGCTGAACATGGATTTGAGTGGGTTTTATAGAAAAATTTGATTTAAAAAAAAAGGTTACCAGGTCAGTAAGTCTGACCTCTAGCATAGCTGCAGTGTACCTTAGCTTTGTTTCAGAAATTGAATTGTTACTTTATGAATCAAAGTGTACTGTGCTCAGAACACCTGAGTATTTGACCCATGGAATGTCCTTTAATGGTCGTTTAACACTCAATGCCAAACAGTTCTGTTTTCTTAACTCCTTGTCTACGATGAATCCAGTGGCGTTCGGCATGTACGTAGGATGTTCCACCCAGGCCGGGGTTTGGGAGGGCCCCGTGCTCGTAGATCAAACATGCACTTTACTACCAGTTCCCCTGGTGGGCTTTCGTCTTCTCAGAGTTCGTATTCTCCAAGCAATAGAGAAGCCATGGATCCTATAGCTGGTAAGAGCTATAACCACAAATTTTACCCCACTCTCCTCCTTCCACAGAGGAAGGAGAATGCAAGATGATAGGAGTTGCCCTGCCCTGTGTTGGTGTGAAGCTGCGTGTACAGGCATGACATACCACAGAGCAGCTGAAGAGGGAAAGGGTGTTCTTACTGTGAACATCAGAAAATGGGCTGTGTTTTTAGGATTCCCTGAAATAACTTGTTTGTTCTATTTTTAGCTTTGATGTGTAAATAACCTTTTTTTACAAGGAAGAATAAATAGAGACTGAAGACAATTCTGAAAACAAATACGGTTTGGTCTAGGGGGAAGTCTAAACATTTTGATGCCAAGGTCTTTGACCATACCAATATGTCAGGAAAACCTCAGAATGTCTGCCACACATCCACCTTTGCTTTAGATGCAAAGTAGACACAGTGCTCCAACTGGAGCTTGCTGCTATCAGGCTGTGACTTCAGGGGGAGGTAGCCAGCAATCTGGCTTAATGAGGCATTGCCCTTGGAAGGGGAGCTGTGGATCCACAGCCTTCCTTAATCATGATTCCCTTTGCCTGCCTTCGGCCGGCTCTGGTGCTCTGCTGGCCGGGTGTGACCTGATGTAACTCATTAAATTAGCTATGAAGAAGTAGCCCATCAAAAGAAAAAAAAACGAGAGGTCACAGGTGAGTTTGTTCCGAGAGGAGGGAGGATGTTCTTGAAGCTTCCAGTGCAGGACATCCTCTTTCTTTTGCCAGGGCAGCTGCCTCAGCTCGTTTAAAATGTGAGGTGACTGCTGAAGTTTGTTTTCAGCATTTCAGGACCTTCCTACTTAGCAGCCTTAAATGTGGGATAAAATGTCATTCTTCTGCATCTATTCTCTTTTGGTGGAAGATGTGTTTCTGCATTTACAGCAGACTGAACTAGGTGTCTGTCTTGTTTCAGGACTGTTTTGAGTTTACACCTCTTTCCAAAATACTGCTTCCCTATATTCCAAGCTTTAGCTTACAGCGAGAATAAATATATCTTAATCTTGCCAGTGAGTTTAACATATCTGCCTTCTTACTGGCGTAATTGATAGGAAAGACCACAGTAATTTTTCTATTTAACATTTATAGCATCCGTTATTTTGCTTAAATGTTTTTTCCCTCCTTGTGGCATTCTCTAGTAATTAAAGTTTACTTAATTTTGGTGCTGCTCAGTGTTGGTGAAAATTACTCAACCTCTCTAGTTCATATTTTGCTTTGTTCCTTCAAAAACAGCTTGCTTTAGAATGATTATGTTTTGTTAATGCAATGGAAGAAAAATTGTCATGACTTATATAGTAACTTTGTAATGTAGAGGAGAGGGGCAGGAGCCAGGAGTGTCCTCTGCTTCCTCTGTCATTGCATCAACTGCAGCAGCTCTCTGAGATAAGTACCTCCTGCACAGGGTGTCAGAGAGATTCTGCAGTGATGCACTGAGCAGTAACTCACTGCTAATAATTATTTAAAAAAAATCTTTGTGGATAAAGTTTGCAAGGAGCGTTCCATCCTTCTGAGTTGGAAGACTTAAAGGGGGTTTTTAGTTGCTAGGCCTTCTCCATGCTTATGGCAGAAATAAGAATTCATACAGAATGCTTTTGATGTGAAGCAGTGATTTGATATGTTTTCTTAACTAAATTTCTTTTATTGAATGTTTGAAGCAATGGTACAGTATTTCTCTCTTTGCTGCAGCACAGCTTCCCTCTGGGATAATTGGGAAGATGAAACTTGTGTTTTGAGGAAGCACTTGTTGAAAGGGAAAAAAAGTAACCATCCAAAGCCAAAATAAAGTTTCTTAGTCAGTGGCTATCTTGACTTCAAGTTTCAGAGTGGCTGCAGAGCACAACTTTTGCCAGGCTGCCTGTAGATTGACTCTCCCGTTATTGTTGAGACTTTAAAGCTCGTCTTGTTATTTGGACTAAATCTACATCAATTAGTCTTAATCTCGATGGGCATTAAGCTTCACAGTCTTCTGTGAGGATTTGTGGGTTTTGATGTTAGTTGAAAAAAATTGAATTGATGCACTGGAATTCAGGGTGTATTTATTCTACTGTGTAATGCTCTTTTAAGATCTTAAGTCATAGAAGCTTTCTCTTCTCTGGCAGAGCTTTTATCCCAGCTATCAGGTGTGAGGCGTTCTGCAGGAGGACAGCTCAACTCCTCTGGCCCTTCTGCTTCTCAACTACAGCAGCTGCAGATGCAACTGCAGCTGGAACGACAACATGCACAGGCAGCAAGACAGCAACTGGAGACTGCACGCAATGCAACCAGACGCACCAACACGATCAATGTCAACACCACTATGACACAATCTACAACAACAACCAACACATCTAACACAGAAAACAGTCAGCAGACTATCCAGAATTCCCAGTTCCTTCTGACAAGGTAATTTGTTCCATGCATTTAGTTGTATTTACCTCTTACAAATGTACCTTAGTTCTAGTGGAGATAGAGAGCTTGATGAAGCTTATATGTTTAGAGTCAGGCATTTAGGATGGCATTAATTACTTAATTAGGAGTACTTACCTAGTTTAGAAATTATAGTTGGACCCCAGGATTATTTAAAAGAGGATTCACCTCCTGTGTCACCTCAGTTCTTCTAGAACACTGACCATGGACCTGACATAAAAATATTTTCCACATCTCCCTTGCCACACCCTCTGCAAGCATACTTTTGTTTGTCTGGTCTTGTGAAAGAGTGTGGTAATTTTAACAGCTCCTGTGCCTGAATTTGAATCAAATCCATTTTTATCTAAGTTCAAAATAATAATGCCATGTGATGCCTTTCAGTCACAAGTTCACTTGAGAACCAAAGCACCCACAAGTGTCAGAGACTGTGACTTTCAGAGTTGGAGTGAGCAAGTCCCTTGCCATTATCAGGACATACATTGTACCTTAGGAGAAGTGAATTACATTCTGTAATCCATGCATAGGCTTTATACATGCAGTGATGTGTTTTGTGGCCAGTGCAAACTTAGAAGTTGATGTGGAAACAAAGGAGGCATATAATTGCACGTCCAGGAAATGGCACCAGCCCTCCCTAAGAGACTCCTTGAATAGCAGGAAACCTCATGAACAGTTTTTGATTTTTTTTGATGTTGAGCTCTGCTGTGAATGCTGTTGCAGCAGCAGGGAAGGGGTGGGTTGTTAAATGCATACCTGTTGCACTGAAGCACTGGACGTGTTGAAGGGCAGGTAAGTGTCCTGAAAGGAGCAGTTTCTGAGCACATCTCAGCCTGTCAGTGGCGTCCCCGGTGAAATGAGCTTTCAGCAACTCTCTGTCTTCTCTTCCCTTGCTGCTGCACAGGTTGAATGATCCGAAGATGTCAGAAGCAGAGCGTCAGTCAATGGAGAGTGAACGGGCAGACTGCAGCCTGTTTGTTCAGGAGCTTCTACTGTCCACCTTGATGCAGGAAGAAAGTTCCTCCTCAGATGAGGATGAGCGGGGGGAGATTGCAGATTTTGGTGCTATGGGCTGTGTAGATATTATGCCTCTAGATGTTGCTTTAGAAAACCTAAATTTAAAAGAGAGTAATAAAGGAAATGAGCCTCCTCCACCTCCTCTTTGATGACATCCCACTTTGCAGACAATGTCCTCTGTGCTGTATTTGCCAATGAAAGTGGACAACAACTATCTTGGGTTTGTTTTGGTGATTGTAATTTCAGGTCTGTCACTCTTGTTACATTGTGTACATTCAAAAGAAAGAGAGAAAAGATATATATGATAATCATTTCCACTTAACTAATTTTTACTTCTAGCAGGTAAATGTAGGTTGCAGAGCAGAATGCTCTGTCTCCTGTACCTTGACATGCAAAAGGCTCTCCTAATACTCCACATTCAAACTGAAGAGGAAAAAAAATGAAAAATCTCTAATGAAGCTGCTGTGTGTATTTATGAATATTAATGAATAAAAACTGCTTGGATGGTTTACCTTAACTACTGCATGACGTTTTTTGCAGCGTGCATGAGTTTTAGTGACCTTGTCATTTAAAAACTTAAATACAAGGAGTAAATCTATAAAACACAAAGCTTCCCCATTATTCAAAGGTTAGGTGATGAAAAAGGTTAGTGCTGAGTAGCAGTTTGTGGCCACAAAGTAGTAGCTTTTTAATAATATGTGACAGAATGACATCTTCATGTGCTGTTTCTGCACAGGATGGAAACTCTGCAGTGGGATACATTGTCCAGACCAGGGTGTGGCATTTTGCTGAATGTGACCATTATCTTGCCCTCTCAGCTGTCACCTCAATGTGGAGTTAAACTTCATTTTATGCATTTGTAGGAGACACAACAGTAAGGCCACTGCTGGAAGCTACTGCAAGAGGGGCTTCTGTGTGCCCTAAAATCAAATGATGTTCACTTTTGTTTAAAGTTTTTCTTTGTTGTGGTTGTTAAAATTTTTTAATTGTTAAATATGTTTTATTCAGGTGTAGACAATTCATATATTCACTGTGTTCCTTTAAAAAAAAAAAAAGTTAACCTGGATCCTATTGTCTTAGTTTAAAAGCCTTTCACAGCCTCAGTCATATTTTGAGTTATTTATGTATTTGCTTGATAGTTTGCAGAGACCTGGCAGTATCAGGAGAGCTTGAGGATTTGGATTCCCAGACTGTCAGTATATTACAAGAAATTCTTAATGCGAACTTTAGCACCTTTTATTTATTGTTTCTTTCAGTTATTTTTTGCTGATATAAAAAAAAATTGGAAAAAAGCCTTTTAGTTGAATCATGCCACCTACATGCCTATACTGTTAATTCAGCTGGTTTTGAAAAAAAAAGAGTATGGTGTTCTTGTGCATAGAAATTTATAATAGCCCCAGAGCAAGGACAGAAGGGGTATATTTGGTCTTGGCTTTGGTTTTTTTTTCTTTTTTTTTTTTTCTTTTAGTGGGTTTGGTTTTTTGGTTGTTGTTTTGGGTTTTTGGTTGGTTGGGTTTTTTTGGTAGGATTTTTTTGAATGTAAAGTTAGATTATAAAAACAAAAGTGCACACAGCTTCTGATGAAAATTTAAACTAGGCTTATATCATAATGATGTCTTTCCAGATCTCTCACCTCACCCCCTCTCTCTTTCTCTGTATCCTCTCATCTCAGCAGCATTGTAGAGTTAAACGTAATGACGTGGACACCATGTGGTGTTCTCTGCAGAACTGTTACATGTATGCTAATCCAAAATAACAGCAGGACAAAAACAACCCCATAGACTGAAGTTTAAGTTCCTTCCTCTCTTTTTTTTTTTTTTTTTTTTGATCATCACATCTTGATTGTTTTCACATAGAACAGCATTAGCTTTGTTTGGGGTTTTTTTTCTCTTTTTTTTTTTTAAGTCTCTGCAACAGAAAACTTTACATGCAGCCTCTGGTTACCCTGAGAGTTACCCCCACTAGGGGACTTTTTTATTGATTGTTGAAGACTTTCAAAAATTTTTCAAGCTGTAGTTTTTCAAACACATCTTCTGCACATTACAATAAGACACACGGTTCAATAAAGCATTTTCAAGACTGTTGTTCAGTTGATTCTCTTTGGCTTTAATGTATTTTCCAGACAGTTTTGTTCCAGAAATTTCTGCATCTGCCTTTAATTCTAACAGTATCATCCAACACAAACTCATTTTGTGTAGCCATCCTGGGTGGTTTATATAAATAACTTTTGAAACCAAATGCTTTGGCAGGTGATGAAGTATGTAATCCTAAGCTCTTCACAGGTAGGTGAATTGAAGGCTGCATAGACCAAGGTGCATTTAAAACAGGCTCTTCTCAGTGTGCTCTTGTTTTGTATTGGTTTAGGCTGGTCTCTTACGTTGCCCAAATTCCAGACACCACCACACTTGACTGGAATGGGTGCAAACTAATGCTATGCAGGTTTGTTTAGAGGCTGAATACATGCTGGCTTGGATTTAAAAGTATTCTTGGACAAGTATCCTTGGGCATCATGTTAACTTGTACAAGTCTTCAGTGGTTTGGGAGGATGTTTGACCTTTTTTTTTTATTATTATTATTTTTAGGTGTAGAAAGAACATGAAATGGCTACTAGGAAGGTGTTCCAGTAGTCTGCCAAAAGTCCTATTTGCAATGGAGTGTTTTTCCTTATTTTAGAGGAAGCTTTGCCAAGGTAGTAATTTCGGGGGTATTTCCAGAAGATTTATTTTCAGGGTGCATTGGGCTGCAATGACTACAGCCTCCTTCAGTTTGAAGGGGAATCCCACAGGGGGTTACTGCCTTTTCCATGTGAGAAAGGAAAAAAAAAAACCCACAAAACAACAACAAAAAAATCACCCTAAGACCACATCCCAACACTCAGTGGACAACGCCCTTCCCAGAACAGGACCCTTAGTGCTCTGCACTTGCACAGTTCTGGGAGTGCAGGGACCCCTGTGACTGAGTGGTCAAGGTCATGTGAAGAAACATTTCCAACAGTATCAGCAAAAGAAGTTTTATTACAGATTTGTGAAAGCATGACTAAGTTCTAGGGTGAGGTTTGCCCTATTACCACACAGATAAAGCACACAAAGGAGAACTGGATTAGAATCAGCTTGGAGTGCCACACAACACAGACTGGGGATGCAAAGGGTGAGGGTGGAGAATGTTAGGGTGCAGAGGGGGAAGGGACACCCCCTGCACTGAGTCACAAGGTTCACATTGGACCCCTTGCCAAACCTACCCTTGGAACTGCTCAGTGATTTATGTCTCAAGGATTTGGCAGCACTTAATCATTGACTGATTTAACTCTTACAGAATGGCTCTGTAAGGTTCTCCAATACCACAAGAGTAACTGAATTTTGAATCTACATTGATGATACACTTGCCACAAAGTGTTGAAGGTTGACAAAGACATGTATATATTCAAATAATCGTGTGTGTGCATGCCTACAAAGCACCTGTTTAAAGCTGCCCCGGAGCTGGGTGAAATTCACACGCTGGATGCCTTTACATCTCACTGGGCAAAGGCTTCAGCCTCAAGGAGGGGGGACCAGCCCAGGCCCCGCTGTCAGTTTTTGACAAAACTCCTCTGGGTTCCCAAACCTGAGGGTTGATGAGCACCCAGAGGCACATCCTGCTCCAAGGGAGGTGCTGGCACAGCCTCTGGGGACCTGGGACCTCAGAGGGCCTCCCGTGGGACCCCATTCAGAGTGTGGTGAGATGCTCGCTTTAGTCTCCCATCCTGGACTCAGTCCAGGTCAGTAATCTTCCTCAAAAGTCCAGTAACGATGTTGTTTCACTCCAGCTGTGATTCAGACAAAAAAAAAGTTTACAAGGCTATTCATTAGAAAATAAGTTTGTTGGGCAACAAATTCCTGGGAACAGGGAGTGTTACTGAAAAGCTCAAGGAGACCGTAATTGTGCACGTGCAGAGTGAAGACATGCCCAACCACAGCCAGGTCAAAGTTGATGTGCTGTGTGTGCATTCTGTGTGTGCGCTCTGTGTGTGCACTCTGTGTGTGCTCTGTGTGTGTGTGCGTGTGTGTGTGTGTGCTCTGTGTGTGTGTGTGTGTGCTCTGTGTGTGTGTGTGTGTGTGTGTGTGTGTTGTGTGTGTGCTCTGTGTGTGTGTGCTCTGTGTGTGTGTGCTCTGTGTGTGTGTGTCTGTGTGTGTGTGTGTGCTCTGTGTGTGTGTGTGTGTGCGCTCTGTGTGCGCTCTGTGTGTGCTCTGTGTGTGCGCTCTGTGTGTGCTGTCCTATCAGGTGTACACCCGTTATCACTGTTGGTGCTCCCCAGCCCGTTGTGTCCTTTGCTGCGTGGGCAGCTCGGACACTGCCAGGTTCCATTCTGCTGAGGGCTGCCTCAGAGCCGTTGTTGGGACTGGGGCAGACAGGAAGCCGTACCCATATATCCCATTCCAGTATTTTGTATTTTAAAGTAGTTGGGAAAACGTGGAAACAGCGGAGTCCTTGGAAAGCTTTTTAGATTATCAGTGTGATCTTTCTGTAACTTCTGCTTTAATAAGAGTCTGGTTGGTTTTTGGAACCTCTCTTATGTCTGTGTCAAATACAAAGAACAGCTCTTGTATATGTAATACAGTGAAAACACATCCACCTCGTGTTTTACTTATGACTGCCTTGATCAATTCCCTGGCACTGGGGTTTGGGGGAATTTCCATTCTTTGCCCTTTGCTCAGATTGGGCTTCCATCTCGGCATGGAGTTGTGGTCCCTGTTAAGTTTGTGGACAGCATAGTCTGGTGCAGAATCCAAACATCCAGATGTGTGCACAGCTGCAGCTTTGAGACATTTGACTGTTGTGGAGGACTAAAGGCCATTTCCTGCTACCAACAGGAAGTCCCAGGAGGCAGAAAGGCTCCACTGCCTCTTGGGACTCTCAGCCCTAAACCAGGGAAGCAGTGTGTGCATTCACTGTGTAAAGGTTTTCTAGTTACATCACTTAATCTTCTTTTCCCTGCCACAGCTGACCTTCACGTCTGGTCAGCCTGTTTTGCCACGTGGGTACTTTGCTGTTTTGGGGCTGTTCACTTGTTTTTGCTCCCAAGGAAGAGCAAAGTGTCTTGAGACAGGCCAGTAAGCATAAGGATTTATTTGCAGTGTTTATGAACATGCACAGTATATAGGTGCTCTAAAGTTATCTGTGGACAAAAAGAGTAGAAAAGGGGAACTGTAGGGGGGAATGGTGCAGCCTCTGGAGTGTTTCCACCACACTTTTTAACTGGTACTGGCTGCCACCTCCTGCAACATCTAATGCAATGAAATCACACTCGTGGGATGGTGGTAAAAGGAGGGCCCTGCAGCTGTGTGTGTGGAGGAGAGGTACCACTGGAAGGGAATCCACGGAGCTGCATCCTCCATGCTAGGCCAGCACCTGTGGAGGGGCAGCGTGAAGCAGGGAGCCAGGGGTACAATCCCCCAACACCATGTGGAGCACAAGTCACGGCCTTGAAAGAGTTGTCAGTGAGCACAGCAGAGAGTGGGCCATGGAGGCCAGCATGAGGGATACCAACGTGGGTCTCAGCTGAGAAAGGAAAAAGATGTATAGCAAAAGTTAGGAGAGGGTAGGAATGAGGCAAACAAAGGGACAGGGAATAATCAGAGGCATGCCAAATCATGCCAAAGATGGAGTGACAGGTGGGACTGAGGAGGGCAGAGGACCACAGTGAATCACAAGCAGCTAGAAGCGAGGCTCTGGCAGCTTTTCTGCTTCCACCGTCGACTGCCTGTGGTGCAGGAGGAAACTGGCCACCACCTATGGGGCTCTCCACTCTTCCCAGACAGTAAACACTTCAGGCTGGCAGTGCTGCCACCAGGGCACCCTCCCCTTTCTGATCCTATTCCTTTTACAGAGCAGCCCCTGAAAGGCTGTGCCAGGGTCTTTGCGCGTCACTCTGAACCTCACACACAACACTCATGGGCTCAGTATCTCCCCGAGGCTGTTGCCTTCTCTTACACAAAGATCAGCATTTGCCCGTTCTGAGACCAACCCAGGCCTCCTCCTTCCCCAGATGCCAGAGCTGCTCAGCAGTGCAGGATGGAAGGACAGTTGTTTCTGTCTCTTTTCCCCACCATTTGTGACATCCGTTCTAAAGCTTCCATTGGCAAGGGGAAATTTTCTTACTTCGGTCATTCAGCCTTGACCCTTGGAGAAGCAAACCATGGCATGCACCTCAAGCAGCAGGCTGGGACGTGTCCCAGCAGGAGTGAGGATGTTGTGCTTTCTGATGCACTGGTGCTGCCCACCCGCCACTCACCCTCCTCTGCAGAGCCCCAGGAAATGCAGTTCACAGCCAAGTACCAAATAAAGAAGAGACAAGCATTTATATTTTATATAAGCGTTTATTTACAACTTGTTTAACAACTGTACATTCTTCTATCACCTTGGAAGCATTAGTGTATTTGACTGGGAAAAAATATTAAACTTTTTGATTCCAATTATCATTAATGAGGTTTTTTTTGTCTATATACAGGTATGTATATTAATATTGCTACCATAACAATCTGGTAGTTACACGATTTGTAGATGAACTGAAATGGGAAATTAATGTTTTGACACTCTAAGAATTCATTCTTTTACAGAAAATATATCACTGGCAACTTCACAAACAGTTATTACTTTGATAATTGATCAACACTTAATTCAGGACTGTCAAACAAGCTGCTATTAAGAAGGTAAGAGAGTTTTCTATGCAGCACAAATGAAGTTAGTATATCAGAGACATGCTGGAGATCAGCTCTAAGTTGAGAGCTCACAACCACTTCATGATAGAGATGCCAGGCTAATCTAATTAAAGTACCCAGCTCCTTGACTGGCTCCACCTGGCATCTCTCTGTTGCATTAGTAAACTCAAAGAACTTTTGTCAAGCTAAACACACTTACATACAAATGTCATCAAGGCTCAAGAACAACTGATACTTAGTCTCTAATCTGCACAGACCACTTAGAAAAATGAGGTACTGCTCGGCATCACTTTGGGACGTCTGTGGAGGCAGGTGCACAAAAAAAGCAATCCCCTCCTGCCCAGCACAGTGCCCTGATTTTAGGGATCCTGCACCCAGCCTGGCTTGGAGCAGGGTGTGGTCCCAGCCGAAGCAGCACTTGCAAATGAAAAACATACCATGCCTTTAACACCCAACTAAAAGAAGTTTTCCTAAGTAAGGCTTGCCCTGACACACAACAAGGGATCAATGGCTAGGATCTGGAAAGACACAAATCCTTCAGCTCTCTGCTGGACTCAGTCTGATGAAATGATGCTGCCTCTACTGCACAAGTATTTGACTCTTTATGACCAAACCCCAGATCCTGGCTGCAGGTCACGTCAGACTTCACTGCCCCTGGCCCTGGTGGACCAGGAAAGACATATATCCCCATCTGAAGCCTTTACGGACAGCTGTCAGCCAGAGCACCTGGTAGCCACAGTACCTGATACAGTATCCAGAAGGGAAAACACCACAGTTCTCACTGGGATCCTAGTTGTAGCCTTCACTCTGCTGCTTGGCCTGCTTGGAGCCCATTCCCTACCTGCCCATCCCTTTGCCAGGCAGCACAGACCACCCCGCCCTGGTGGGGCACACGTTTGTCCTTTCTCCATGCCGTTCTGCACAAGGCCACGGACACCGTGGGATCAGGACCCCTGAGGACTGGACACAAGCAGGCGTCTCTGCGTACGAGGTGTGGCTCTGTCAGAGCCCACCCAACGGGCCAGGGACGAGGCAGGCACTGTGTGTGTGACCAGAAGAGACTGCAGAGACAAGTGGACACAACGCTGCCCCAGCGTGGGGGTGCCCCTGTGGCAAACAAGGCTGGAGGTTCTTCTACTGCCCAAATAAGCAAAACTATTCCTGGAAGCAGCAGAGTTCATATCAATATTTCTGCCAGATTAAGATCCAGGTGAGCAAGAATGGGGTTTCTCTAGAACTGGATTTAAATCAAACCGCTTAAGGTACTCGGCATTCAGACTTTTCAGTTTTTCCAGCAAATCCTATGGCTTGAAAGCCCCTTTCCCTGCTTGTTATGTACTAATTCCTATACAATAAACCTCTTAACTTACAATACTACAGCACTCCCTCGTCTTCTGAATCTTGCCAGTACTGGATGTCCAATACAAAACAAAGATACAGTAGTACAAATGTGCAGATATTTAGGAATATTAAATAAGCAGCTTTTTAAATTAATATAGGCAGTACAAAGCATTTTGAGTTACACTGTCTACATATGGCAAATCTTATAGCTAAACTTCAAAATACAAAGAAACAGCCAAGCTAGTGCAATTGGAAATTAAATAGCTAAGACTGTGACAAGAGAAAGAAAAAAAGAAAAGGAAAAAAACAGTACAGGTGAAAGATAAACGATCCAAATCATAAACTGGCAAGGACAGTCTGCATAATATTGAAAGTGCAGATGACTTTCATACTTATCTCCATTCATGGTCTTTCCTCAGATTGTTTTAACAATTGTACACAGATTGGAAAAAAAAGTTTCTGAAAGAAACCAACAACACAGCTCAAATGTAGAGAGAAAAATACAACAGCCACAAACTACTGTGTATATATACATATTAAGGAAGCAGGCAGTGCCTGTGAACAAAATACCACCTGGTAGTTTGCCTGGCTCGGAGATTATCAGATGAAACTTGCTTGGTTTTCTATGGAAGATGGGATCGCCAAGCAGCAATTCATTAGGCATTTCTCCTGGTAAAACACCTCCTTCGCTTTACTTAATTTCTTTAAAGATTCAAAGTGGATCCTTTAAGGGTGCAGGTGCTTTGAAATTTGAACAGTAACCAAAAGGACTTTTTTAGGAATTCATTAAGACCAGATTTTTATAGTTCGGTATATGAAAATGTTGCAGGAAGTCTGTATGTTAATACTGTTAATCAGAATTAAATAAAGTGGACAGGCGGAAGTAAGATGGAGAGCTGACAGTGCTCTGTCAGTTGCAGAACGCCTCCTGTTGAGTTGTGAGTACAGGATTTCCTCTCTTCTAGCCTCATAGGAGACTTTTTGTGAAGAGAAAGAGTAAGTGGAAGTGGGAAATGGGAAAGCCACTCCCCAGGATGGTAAGCTTCTCTGCAAGTAGATCCCCCTTTGAAACCAGATGGCCATGAGTCTTAAGTGTAGAACTGGTTAAGTTTTGGTTATGCAGTCTGGACAGAAAAGCAAGTCATGCACTGAACAGTCCCTGTTATAATAATGCTGCAGGTCATGCAACCACATCACTGCAAATAAAAGAATAAAGAAGAAAGTTAAAAAGCAGGTAACATATTACTGTTGAAAAAAAAAAAAACAACAAAACAAACAGAACAGAACAGGTCCTTTTAAAAGCAGTTTAGTAAGGCCACCTCTACTTAAGAGTTGTGCAAATTCACAGAGAAAATACCTTTGCCAAGCAACTGTTCAAATTAACAGGAAGGTTACAGGCCAATAGTTGGAAAAAGCAACAAAATAGCCTTGGTCAATATCTAAGTTCCGCTATAATTAAACTTCACACGCTTCTGAGTAAAATTCTTCGGGGCACCATTCTTTAACTAATAAAGCCATGGAAAATAAGTTTACACAGCAACGAGCAATTCTCAGGCATTCATGCTGTCTGTGAGTGTAATTGGTAAAGCAAGATAATGTGAAAGGTGCCCACCCAATTCTGCATGTGTTTACATGCTAAAAGATAATCATAGTCACAACGACTGTCTTGAAATCTTGGGCACCACTAAAGGCATTTAAATTTCATCAGATCTCATCCTGTGCATGAGGCTCAACATCACTGCCCCACTGCACTGGCAAGTTCTATCCCTTGCATGCAAATACAGGTTTGAATTGCCAGAAAATGATACGTGTTCTTGTTAAAGTAAGCTGAGTCGGAGTCACCAAGCAGTAGAGAGAGCACCCCACTGCTGCAGAAGGGAATCTAAGTTTGCAAGAGAATCAGAGAGGTTGGCACACTTCTCCATTGTCACTGATGCACCCTTTTTCCTGGCCAGTGTAACTGGAATGGAATGCTTTACTGATACAGCTACAGTGCTTCCACTTTGCCCAGGTAACACAGATGTCCCTACACAGCACTGGCACAGCACTAAATGGGCATTTTTGTTTTCATATTGCAAAGAGCAAATTGGCTTCACCAGACTGAAATTAGAGCCTGTTTCCCCACTTCCTTCTCCCCTCTATTGCACTGGTCAAAATTGATTCTAAGAATGCTTCTTGTGATGGGCCAATCCAGGTTAAATAGATAAAAAAGAGTATTTATGCTACAAGTCCTGTAGCCTACGTATCCCTCTTTTTTCCTTCTCATTCATCCACCCAGAATACTAAGTAACCATGACTGAAAACCACACAGAAATACATATCAAATGGAATAAAAAATTTAACACATTCAAAGACCTTGAGGGTGTGTATTTTGAGCAATCATTGTCATTTAAGCTTGCTTGGCACTGCTTGGTGCATAAAGTTACACAGTTCAGGATTAATATGAAGATCACTGTAGTTATTCTATAAAAATTCTATTAAAAATAAAAAGTTAAAGCTACATAAGCATGTACCTATTCTACTGTGTACAAATGAATATAATCCTTTAGTCTCACCTGGCTATAGCTTAGTTCAAACTTATTATTTAGTAGCACTTGAAGTGTCCTTCAAGTGTATGTTGGACATACACAGAAGAGACACTTCAGGCTTCTATTTGAGTCAATAGTACTTTTGAAAGGTCTTGTAAACTCAGGACACCATTATCTTTCAAGTATGTAAAAATTCATCTGTTAGTGCCCTTTCCTGACTAGAAATTCTTATCATGTTCTAAAACTAGCTGTCTGTCAGTTTCTCTATTTTAAAGCCACCAGCTGAGGCAGCAACACATAGAGAGATGCAAGATGTGAGGGTAAATTGACTGAGCATAACCTGCATCTGCAGCATCTTTAGAAAGACACAGTTTATGCAGCTGACAATATGTCTAAGGTGTGACAAAGAGAATACAAAGCAGATTATAAATTTTAAAAATGGTGGCCTTATAATGTAATGCTTATAATTATTTCAAAACATTACTGATACTGCTAAACAAAAGCTTAAAATCTCTCTCAAAACCATTGATGCCTCCAAGAAAGAAGTTTACTCTCCAGCTTACTAACCCTTTGTGGCTGTGAACAATAACCTCTACTTTACAATATTTTAAATTATATAACTGATGTTATATTCAAATCCAAATCAAAAGTCTGATGGTCTAATTACAACTATTTTATAACTTTATAAATACTACACCATTTTCTGTGGATTTTCTCTTAAAATTCCATCCACTTTCATGATCAGGCTAACAACATGAGCGTGCTAACAGTAATTACTGGACTTTATGTTAGCTCTCTGCTCTTCAAGTTAGGTATAATCATTAGGGATTCAATTTCCATTTCCAGAATAAACTACTCTATACCTGTGGAGATACTTGCTTTTGCAGTATTTCAGATCTGTGCCATGCTACAATAGTCAGCAGTCCTTCAAAGTGCTGACAAACGATTGAAACAAACATGTTCCTCTTTCTGAAATCACTGCATCTGATCACAAAGGACCTCTCTAATGCAAAGCAATTAATAAAATCAGCACAAGAAAGGAAAGACTGCCCAAATGACCTGTATTTCCCTCTGCTAGGAGTATTTTTCATGTTGTATGGATCATTCTCTGAGACCCACAGCAGCAAGACATAGCTGCAAGAAATTTTTTATCAGCCAAATGGAATCTGTTTTCAGCCTGGAAATGACACCATATGCAAAGGGGACAGAAGGATATGCAATTTTCCAAACAACTTTACATGCACAGCAAACAGCAGCAGAGCAAACTCATGATTTGCCACCAGAGCCAAATGATGTAGAAATACACTTCAGGATACTCCTGCACTACCTTGGCAAGGCCCAAAGGTGAAGGTAGAATCTGGACCACAGAGAAGCTGACAGCAAGACCATCCCCAGCAGATGAGGACTTCAATTACAGCAGTCAGCACAACTTCCTACTGATCCACTGACTACAATATGACATCAGGACAATCTGTCTGGGAAGCTGTGGCTAAACTGTCAGGTGCTGTTTCAATGCCCCATGGGATGGTATGATTTGTCAAGTTTCCTTGACAAGCCCCCCAGTCAACATTCATTCATTGCCTAATTCAATGAGCTAATGCATTTTAAAAATAAACTTTATGTCCCAACATCTCAATGAATACACAAAAATAAAATCAAAGGAAAACAGAGGACGAAGCTAGCTAAGTCCTCAGCATCACTAAATGGTACAATGGAGCTGGCATCAGAGTCAAAATTTACTGTTTCACTGTACCAGATACAAGAAGTCTGAGGTTGCAGTGGCTGAGTAAGGTTACAGGAGTAAGGCAATCCAATCAGCCATGCCAGGACATATTTTTGATTCCTTAGGAGTGACAAACTGGAGGCATGGCTAGGATCCTACCTAGAATATGACATTCACTCCAAAAAACCTCACCACTTGGAAGTATAGCCTGATAAATCCATTTAGCTGTTTATTTATGCAATGCCAGGTGAGGAAAATGCCTGCTAAATTTGGTTAGGAGATACTGAAGTTTATCAACACTATCTTACTGCAAAACACAGAGTTCACATTCTACCTAAAACACATGTGCAAAATCAGCATAGCATAGCTGAGTGCAAAAATACCTCCCTCATCAATCCTTGCAAAAAGTCAATATGTTGGGCACAAATAAAAAAATATACAGTAAGTAAAACTGAAATACTGTTTTACTTTATAGGAAAAAGGAAAGCAAGCCACATTCAGCATAGTCTTTCTCCAAGCCACTAACAAGAAGAAAATCTGTTAAGTGTATAGTCTCATATACTAGAGGAGACAGGAAAAGCAAAAGCTACTTGAACATGTCAAAATACCGAAGACTTTAAAATTGCCAAAAAACTTAAATTTTCTTGACAGCTTACACATACCACATACTATTTGAGATCATAATAAAGCAGTAACAGGAATAGTCATTGTTAATTCTTTCATACATATATAAAAATGTCAGCGCTCCTTACAGACCAAAGAGCCACAAAACACTTGCAGAAGCATTACTGCTAACACAAGTGACACTTCAACAGGACAAGATTGCTGTTTGATTACTTCCAAACAGAATGAAAGGCATCTTGTAGCCATTACATATTTATTTCATTTTGCAATACACAAGGTTGTATATTCCGGACATGTATTTACCTTTGCACTGTGGGTGGAACACACAACCTTTAAATCAGAGTACTTCAGTTTTCACAGCACTTAGAAAATGCATGTTATGATCTGGTTAGGTGTTGCTATCAAGAAAATAGGGAACTTGAATTTTTTTTTTCTCTGTAATGCCTGATCAGATATGCTAAAAACTCAACCCTCCACAGAAGTACGTGAATTGGACTGCACATCTGAACACATCCTTTTAGGTCAGAAACGAAGCTTCAGCTCTAAACAATGAAAATATTTATCTATTTATCTGTTATCTTTTATTGGCATCAATTAAAATCTGCCAGAAAGATTATTCTGGGCAGATCCTCAGCACAGTGCCCTGCAAGTACTCTCATGAACACCTCAACTGTTTTATCTCTGACCTGGAGAACCTCTTTTCTTTAAGCTCAGTTATAAGGTTTTTTCTGTAGTGAACTGGACAGGATACAGCACTGGCTTAGTAATTGCCACTGCAGTTTTGATGTAAACAGTCTTTCTTGCCTCAGGGGAAAAAAGTATTCCCAAAAATACGTTCTCTGAACTCTCTAATGTACTAAGAGAATTCTGTTCCATAGGTTGGGGCTTTTGCTTATTTTTTTTTTTATTACTCAATGTAAGACAAATAGGGAACACACACTGGTAGCTCCCCTACACATGTGTTTATTGTTTATTCCCTGGAGTCACAGTCTGAGCTCCCTCTTTTTCTTAATACACACTGCTTACAAAGGTAGACAAGCAAGTGAAATAACGAAGCTGACCCCTCTGAATAAAGAAGCTGTTGCTGTGAAAGAGAAGGTTTAATATTCAGCTCTTGCATTCATCCACACACAAAGATTAAGAATGGATGTATGCAGAAAATTAAAGTAGTAAAGCAGTGAAGAAGAAAGAATTGGACTCCTCTTAGTTACTAAAAGAAGACATTAAAAATGACTTACTAGAACCAGACAGCAACTGAGACTATATCTGTAAGAGTGCAGTACATTTTTAGGATTTTATATTCAATATTAATTCTAGGAAATAGCAGAATTTCTGCAAGTTTGTAAATTCTCTAAGATAAAATGATTGTTCACTTGCCTAAGCAAGAGTAAAACTCATATTCAGTATGAGTCTTGTGCTGATCTTTGATGCTATATAATGATGCTATCTATTTTTGAAAACAACTACAAAAAACACTTCAGTGTCTTATCTTCATGGGAAAAGGAAAGAGAATCACAAAGAACAGAAAAGCCAACAACCAAGAACGAAAAGAAGCTATGAGAGACAAGAAAGTAAAAGCGTAAGACAAAGCTTCTAACCAGCATCTGTTCATCTCCTAACTCTCAGCCTGTCATCAAAACTTTGGAGGCAAAACAGTAAAACAAATATTAACATCATAAAAGCAATTACTTTTATTCTAGCATGCTGATTGTGTTCAAGTTCTTTTAGCACTGCACCTAATTAAGAGCAAGAAGTAATTAAATTACTAGACAAAATTAAGAGATAATACTTCCCATTAAGCTTCCATCCCTTTCTTGCACAAATAGCCCTTGGCAGTTTAGTAACAGAAAAAGTTAGCTAGATTAAAATTAAAACAAAAATGGAGCTTTCGGTATTCTTAGGCTCTGGGTGATATAAAATACTGTAACCTCAAATAGGAACATTGAATTCCCTCAGAGGAATGGTCTTGCTCCTGTTCACATATATCCTGTGGTAAAGAGTTCTTCAAATTATTAAAATCAATTGCACAAGGTAAGTAAAAGATATCCCAGACAGACGGTAATTGTCTAGATAATTACAGATAGCCTTTTGTATACAGAGCATTTTGTATCTCAGTAAGAGACAACGGATTGAGTATACCACCTTACTGAACTACAGAAATTATGCACAACTTCCTCTGCATTGTTCTTTCTGCACATAAGAAACTTGAAATATCTCATCTAATTTTTGCAAGTACAGCCCATATCAGTAATACACTGCATAAGTACAGAAAATTTTTAGAAAACCATTTTTTCCCTAATGTGAGGATTAAAAGACACAACTATATGTAGAATTCAGTATCTGTTCTCTGGGGGGTGGGGGTCTTGGGGGTGTGGGGTGGTGGTGTAACTGCAACTGAAAATATTTTTCAGACAAATAACTGAAAGCATTTATTAGCCTGGATTAAAACAAATGATGCACTTGAGGATAGAACAACAGTACCTAAAAATGTCATTCACCTGTTCACTACCCTTTAATCTAGGTGTGCCTGTTTTAATTATCCACTGCTCATTCTACTCAAGTTGTGAATTGAAACAGACATTCAGATGACTGATAAATGCTAGTATCTTTTCTCTAAAAGGATTTATGGAAAAATAAATATCTCCACTTAAAAGGGCATTAAAATCAGGTGAAAGAATGAATTTATAAACCAACTACATGTGCATTAGAGTCCAAACAGCCTCTAAATAAAAACCTAAATTTAAAGCCAGCCTCTAAATTTGAAACTGAATCACAATAAGATGCATGAATATGAAACTTCCAGCCAATACTCAGGTTCTCTGTGTCTATCAATTCTTTGACAAAAATGACAGGGAATGCAGAGAACTAGTCAGGGAAAAAGCACAATTTTGTAGGAACAGAACCTAAATAAGAGAAGCCTCCATCCACTGATCAACAAGAAGGTGTTACAACTATTAATCAGCTATATACTAAAAAGGCAGTACAACAAATCACAGCCTGTTTCCAACGAAGTCAGCAATAAACTCACCTGAAGGCACAGATACCATTAGTAAGGCAACTGATACAATTATACCCTGAATCAATATAGTAAAAGCAAGTCTTGTAGTAAGGATGACCACTGGAATACATTAACAGTATTAACTGGGGCCTTGATCCATTACGTATTGTTCATCCACAATCATAAAATTTTAGAACAAATGTCCTTTTTAAATGGATGATAGAGTAGCAGGTTTGCACATGCTAAATACTTCTCCAACTTTTTAGAATATGTATTTAAGCATACACTTGACAAAGAAGAGTGGAATAAACCATTTGAAAATATTAATTTCTACCAGCAAAAGAGGTAAAACCAGTTGATAAAGAAAAACCTGGAAAAATATCATCCTGCTTCCCTAAATGCCAAGAGTAAGAGCAAACTTTGCACTTAGGAGATTAAAAAAAACCCCAACTTTTCTTTTTGCATTGGTGATTTTTTTAGTATGAAATATATTTCACAATAATATTATAATCCAACTTTGCATTTCTGTAATGAGATTTCAGCATTTTTCTGAATCAACAGGAGATGAAAAGCTAATTCCCTTTGAACAGAAACAGTCTTATAAAGCACAAAGCCTTACAGGCACAAAAGTACCAACTGTGATAGGAAATCTCCACTGTCACATGATCCACATGAGGTTTTTTGTAACAGACCAGGCTTCATATAAATAAGACTGTTATTATACAGCACTTGCCTAGATGTTTTCAAAGTTTTGGCACATTCAGAAAATGCAGAGAGAAATGAACTCCAAAAAATATAAGCAAAGGGCATTACAGAGAAATAAGAAGGCATAATAAAACCTTTTCCTGAACTGTAAAATAATAGCAGTAACAAGGGAGAAAGAGAAAGGATGCTGGTTTATTTTCCTTGAATGTTGTCACTTGCAATAGAAGTGGCCTGGATCACAGGGCAGTTTTCTTTCTAAGGCCAAGGCTTCTCTACCTTGCTGTTGCTGGCTGGACATGACCAGGGTAAGATCTCCTTGTGCTCGTGGCTTGCCTTTGTCTAGCCAGGAAGGACTGTCCTGAGCCTGTACTAGCCAGTCTGTCTTCTGCTGCTTTTTTATGCAGAGTCATCCCCTATGGACAGAGAGAATTTCTCAGTCAATACCAACATAAAACACTGAACAATTTTATTCATTTACATTTTATTCATTATTTCTGTCTTCACACTAACTAAACTATTTTGAATTCCATGTGCAAAGCATCATATTTTCAAGGACAAAGGTAAGTAAGATATTCTTCCTAGTACTATGTGTGGAACTCTTCCCCTTTCCTGCAGTCATTCTCCAGGTTTAGAGTAACCACCTAAGAACTCAATATTATGCTTCTCATGGCAATTGGACAATTCCTTTCTAATGAGCACTTCCGCCC